AAAAAAAAAAAAAACCGATAACCTGGTTGCCGAGTTCACGAAGTGAAATGGCTTGTTTTACAACGTCGTTGCCAGGCGACGAAAACCCAATCCCGATGGCAAACACCGGGAGGATGGGGGGGTTAAGAGGGCAGCTGCTTGTCGTGATCGCAACCTTGCTGAACGTCGATCTCATGTTGTAGCACACAGGTAGCACGGTGGTGGTGCGCGAAGCACCACACTAACACGATCATGGCGCCAACCAAGTGCTGACGGGGACTCCGCCATCCGCCCCGCCCCTCGCGTCGTCCTTAGGTATCCGTATCGCAACATCTTCAGGCTTATCGAGGATGACCTCAAGATCGACCCCTTTACGCCGTGGACGCAGTCTGCCCAGTACAGCCCCAACGGTTTGGAGGTACACATTGTAATCATGCGCCGTGGGTGCATATTCATGCGTGCGTACAACGGGCACATTCGGGCACATTCGCATGTGTTGCGTGGGCGGACGTGCTCAAAGGTGCTGCATGGGCACCATGTGTAGGTGGTTAATCGCTTGGACGCACAATACTCGGGGGGCAGTGTAGTTCGTTTTGTGAAGTTTCCCCCTGCTCGGACAAATAAAACCTTGAATGCCTATCGCCTGTGCATAGGAACTGCTGTGTTTGTCACCCCGAAGCAACCGCACGTTTTCGGGGTCCTGTTTCTTCAGCTCCACCTCATCGGCAGATCACACGAGAGCAACATTAACCATTTTGAGATCATCTATGCGTGCTTTGTGTGTATCCTGTGTGCCACCCACCCCTGCCTCCCCCGCCCTTCCGTTGCCCCGTGCGCGATCTCGACCTTACTCTGGGCCGTACATGTCCCGTTTTTCACAAGGCGATGGGTATTCTTGGTGTTTCCCCCCGTCTCTCCGGCTGGCTTGGTTGACACCCCTGCTTGGCTCGCGTTGTCCCTATCGACAGGTGATATCTCCTATCTTCCAGAACATGCCACGGCTGCCGTCCCCACTGGGGACGTTCCTGTACCCCAGTTTCCTCCGGCTGCCTTGGTTCGACCGCCTCACAGCCTTGGGCTTGCTCGCCAGGTACAGTAGGCAGCAGGTCGGTGTTCTGTAGTTGTTTTGTTGTTGTTGTTGTTGTTGTTGGCGGTGGTGGTACTGGTTGTGTTTTTGCTGCTTGCTTGTATCTCTGTTGGTGACGATGTGTCACTGTGTCATTGTTGTTGATGGACTCGTCGCTTTGTTGTTTGACTTTGCCGCTGCGCGTATTTGCTGTTGATGTTGCTGCTGTTGTTTTAAAACACTGGAGCCCTCAGGGCCAAGGCGAAGAAAGTACGATCGGGAAACTGCCATCGAACCAGTACCTTCGAAGCAGCGCATAACCCCAAGTATCTCGGCATCAGAAATTTTGTTGGCAGGTTGCTTTTCGCTCACGCGTGACGACTAGCGTCAACGAGGTACAAAGATTGCGCGCTCACTTCGCCCGCGAGATTCACGTCTACGAACGCATGACGTGTCACAGCTGCAAGACTTCTGCTTGCGAAAACAATGTCGCATCGACATCCCTTGAGTGGACGTTCTCGTGTTGTTTTCGCCGCTCCCCACCTTGAAGCGGCAGTGTGTGCCACACCGGGCAGCCAGCTGCAGTGGGGATAGGGTACAACAGCGCGTGGATTGATTGATCCCCTGTAGTGTGCCGTGAGGAGCCAATGTGCCGCTTCGGAAACATTCGTGATGGCGTTTCGACGATCTCTCTCGTTTCGTTTCGATTCGGCTTTCTCCCTACTCACATGTACGTGCGAAACGGCATCGATGGCGACTAAACGCACAGCGTCGTGGACTGGGACAATACCCCAGAGGCGTGGCGAAAGTGAGTAGAGTGCGGCCACATGCCTGCCTGTCTCTGCCTGTCTCTTCCTGTGTCTGCCTGGGTGTCGAGAGGCATCGCATCAGACCACACTGACCCTAGTGACGATCGGTGTACGTGTTGCGACTTTCGAAATCTGGTAAGAAACGATTTTGTTTTTTTTTGCTGCGCAGTTGCTGTCAGCCAAGACCTACTTCAAGGGGTTCTGTGTTCGCCAAAGAACTCTCTGATGCTCGGTTTAGGAAGCTGGCGGCAGGCGAACATTCGTCTTGAACACGATCGGGATTTGAACGGGTAGAGAGGCAACCTTCCGTGTGAACTCGGATTGGCAATCGTGGCATGAAATAGGAACACTAGACAACGTGGGGTAATTCCCAAGCACGACGGCATGCGTAAGGAGAGTGAAGTTGCATCGACCCCCTCACACGGGGTATCAATCGACTTGTCTTCTTGCAGTCCTTCTTGGATGTTCTGTATATGTTCTAGAACACACACCGTGGTGTGCCTGTGTTTGTTTGTTTTCCTCATCCCCATTTTGTCAATTTTTGCTCGTGGTTTCTGCATAGCCTTGTCACGGTGTAGTGAAGAGCTCCGATCCGAGGCTCCGGGGTGCATGCCTTCAGCTGACTTTCGCCAGAAGCGTTTGGTTATCGTGCTCCCCTCGTGCCTACTCACAACACATGCTCTCCACTTGTGCTGATTTCCATCCGTCTCTCGTGAACACTCGTTCACGCAAACATGGGGGGGGTAGGAAAGGCTGCCTGAATGAAACATGCGCCAGCACACCAAGTGCTCTCGGCGACACAAAATTGGTGGCATATCATTCGAATAGGCCGCCTGTGTTCGAAAAGGCAGTATTTAGTACACGGCGCAAAGCCCTGCTGTTTGTGTCACGTGGTGCGGAAATAGATGTGTTCCACCAGGTTCCACGGAGCCGTGACATGCGTGCGTGTGTGACCGCGGGTGCTATTCGGTCCGAAACCTCCAGGTACGATAAGTACACGGCTCGAGAACTCTTCCGAATGATGGGCTGCTCCGATAGGCTGTACAGGGATGCCTTCGAGCCCATGCTCCTGGTCGGCCTGTTCGCACCCGGGGAGCAGTGCAGCGCCGCAGGTGCGTCTTCGTCCAGCCCATCCACGACCCGTGCGCCCGCCGAGTAGTGTGTGCTGTTTTCTTCGGCATTTATAGTATACAAGAACCTATTATCATAGGCCTGATATTGTTTTGGTACTGGTTCTGCCTTCAATCATTGTACGTTTCGTTCATGACCACCTCCGCTGTCTGTCTCTCGGTGTCGTTGTTGGCAGGCGCTCTCGGGATGCTGTACTTCTTCATCCTGGCGCACCAGGCAGACTTCGACGTGAAGTGGTGCAGGGGCACAACGGGAGAGATGATCTTCAAGCCGTGGGTGCAGAGGATAGAGGAGAACGGCGCCAAGGTGCTCGTGGAAAAGTGAGCGATCCCTCCTCTCGTCGATAGACGCCCTCGTTTGGTAGCAGCATTTTCGTCGGGGCTATAGGGAAGGATCCTTCCGAGTACCGGTCTTGGTGTGCATGTGGTACATACTGATGCTACGGTAGGGGGGTGCACTTTTGGGACAAAATTTGTAGCACTGTTGTGGCGATCTTACGGCGAAATCGGGCGCGGGCAACATGTTTACGTAGAGCGTATTTGCTTCCCTACTCAAGAGTGTGGTACATTTCCTTTTTTGTAGTGTGGTACATATGAGGAGCGGAATACTCAGTTGGGCTGGATAAAAGCCGCACGCCAGCTTTTTGCCGGAGTCACGCCAGCAACGCCTGGTAGTCTCCACTGTTACCCTAGTCTAACCCCGCTCCCCCTTCCGACGCGTTGAGAAAGGATAGCTGTATACTGAAGATCCACAGTAGCTATAGTGAGGGGACAATTCGAGGATACAGTGCACATAGACCCGACCCCCAACCAGTACCCGA